TCTTAAAACTCGAAGTAATTGGTTTTTAGGGTGAGGGGGTGGTCCTGACTCTAACTGTAAACATTTTGGTATTCAGAGGGCTTTTGGAATGAGGAGAAGGGTGCCAACAATAACTAACAGTTTAACACCCATTGCATTCACTGCTATTAAGCTATTCTGAAATCTTTTCCCTCCAGCCTTCTTTCTAAGACCCAGGGGAAATATTTGCAGTCACTCACAATACCCAGTGATAAGGTTCTATCACATGAGATCAGAAAATGGGAAGACAAGAAATGCCAGAAAGGAGGCTTCTAAAATTCTGATTTGCATGTAAGGGTCTCTGTCCACAGAGAGAGGCCGGTAACTATGGTGCCTGGTGGGCTATGCGGTGTCACACTCCACTGCCCTGCTTGAGCCCAGCAGACAAAGGCAGTGTGCTAGGAAGCTGTGTGCCTGGTTGGGACAGAGGCAAACTTCAAGGATCACTGGGTTCATATATAACAGGCTTCACTAACTCTGAGCCAATAACTCATGTCTCTTTTTCCCAGGAGAGTATTTGAAAATTGATGAGAAAAAAAAGTGTGCATTGTTGACTAATCTTTTTTTAGAAATGGATACTTTTGTACTCTGTCCCTTCTTTTGTCCCACAGCAGATACTATTTATATTCAGGTCCTGTGTGCTCTATTCACAGGAAAAACATTCAGATATCTTGGGTTACTACTACCACCGTCACATGATAGTTTTTCTTTTAATTTGGCTTCCTTTTCACATAATAAATCTTCCTATCTTCTCCCTCTCTTTGTTGTTCTCCTCTCCTGTCTCAGTTTATTGGATCTGAATTTTTTTTTTTTTATCCCATGCACATTCCTTGCATTCTTTGTGTTGGTCTACTGTTTGAGAATGTCAAAGAAAAAACACCTCCCAATGTACCAGTGCCCACAGACTGGGCTTTTTGACAGCAGCTTTTCAGAGAGCATTTCACTGATTTTGGATTAATGAAAATAATGAAGAGTAAAAGAATAAGTGAATAAATGTATTAAATCCTGATGAAAAGTCTGTAGCATAGTGATCACTAGCTTCATTTTATGAATAACAAAATAGATTCAGAAAGTCAAATAACTGGTCCAAGGTAGTATAGCCTATAGATGGCAAAGTCAGGACTTGACCTTGGCCTCATGATATGGCCACTGCCTTTCTATCCCACACAGCCTTATCCAACTTGCCAGTCACAACTCCACCTCCATGCCTTTGCCCAGGCTGTTGCTTTTCTAGGTGTCATCCATTCCATTGATCTAGGCTCTCCATTTGTCAAGGCTAGACCAAGTCTTACCTCCTCTGCCCCAGGGGTTCCTAGTACTCTTCATTGGGCACTTGATCTTGGATTGCTCTTTTTTACTATCCATAGATTTCTAATATCTTTTTTTTAATGGTAAGATACATTTGGTATACACTACACTGAGGTCCTATGCACCCTGTACCAACCTATCTGACATAACCAAATCTCTTGGTATATACACATCACTCTCTTACGAATGTTTTCTTGAAACCTGGTGGTGACCAGGCAGACGGACTTAGTTCAGAATTGCCAACTGGATGACTCTTGTATAGATGATCTTAGGCTCGTGTTTCCTTCCTCCAGGGGAAAAATGTAAAAGTGCAATTTAATAATAAAATTTCCTAAAATTTTCTATGCCCCAAATCGGTTGCTGTTATGCATTTTGCAGAATTGCAAAGTAATTGGTAGCACATGGCATGGTACCTGCAGGGGATCATGGCTTGCCTGCCTTATTTGCCTCTGTAAACTTTTGATCAATCTCTTCTTGGTAGAGCCAAGTGTTTATTTATAACATATGGGCTTCCACCAACTCTGTGTGACCACAAAGTGACTGTATCATTGCCAGAAATCAGCTACATTAGCATCATACAAAATATATATGTGTGTGTGTATTTGATTTAAAATTCATATAAATTCCAAAATTGCTTTCATGTCTACAAACTGTGCTAACTCCCATGAAAATACCCCCAGATTTATTTCTGATCCTGTTGATATTGACTACCTTGTATCTTTACTTTTTGGGTATCTAACTTGTATTTGGTAGCTATTGAGAATACATGGTAGGAAAATGTCAAGTTCTTCCAAGTGAACTGCTCCCAGGAGTTTTTGTGATTGAATAAGTGCCACATCAAGTTCCTCTTCCCAAAGTTAGTGAGACTCATCACTGGTGTTGGAGAGTGCATTTTTTTTTCCAATGGATTCCCAAAATTCACTGGAGAAGTAGTAAAAGTATCAACAAAGTCATTTAAATATAAGTTCAATTTTAAGTTAGTTTCATAATTTATATTTTTGTTATTCCTACTTTGGGGGGATTATTGATTAATTTCCTAGAAATATTAGAAACAACATTAAAATTAATCCAAAAATAAGATTTGAGTCCTGTTTATAAAGATCACTCCTCATCCGTCTGGACAAGCAGGAGACTGGGAAAGTGATAGCAGATGTCAGTATTCTGATACATCTCCTTCAAAAATAATATGATAGTTTTATTCTTTTATTATTATTATTATTTTAGAGACAGAGTCTCAGTCTGTCACCCAGGTTGGAGTTCAGTGACTCTATCACTGCAGCCTCAAACTCTTGGTATCAAGCGATCCTTCCATCTTAGCCTCCCAAGTAGCTGACACTACATATGCATGCCACCATGCCTAGCTAGTTTTATTTTTAACTGTGGACATTATAAGGATAAAAAAAAATTTAGAAATATATAACCATTCCTCACAAGTTAAACAGAATTACCGATGACCCAGCACTTCTCAAGTTAAACAGTTAACCATTCCTCACAAGTTAAACAGAATTACCGATGACCACTGCACTTCTGCCTGGGTGAGAGGAGAACCTGACTCTATACCCTATACCCTAAAGAATTGAAAGCAAGCATTCAAACCAAAACATGTACATGAATGTTCAAAGCTGCACTATTCAAAATGACCAAAAGGTGGAAACAACCTAAATGTCCATCAATTAATGAATGGATAAATAAAATATAGTATATCCATAAAATGGAATATTATTTAGTCACACAAAAAAAATATCAATGCATAACATTGTTCAGCCTTGAAAATATCATGCTAAGTGAAGGAAACCAGACACAAAAAGTCACTTATTATATTATTCCTTTTATATAAAATATACAAAATAGACAAAGCCATGGAGACAATGTGGTTGCCAGGAGCTAGGGGAAGGAGAAATGAGGAGTAACTGTTTAATGGGTATGGAGTTCCATTTGAGGTGATGAAAAAATTCTACAACTAGAGAGTAGTGATGAATACACATCATGAAGGTACTTAATGCCACTGAACTGCACACTTAAAAATGGCTAAAATGGTAAATTTTATGTTATATGTATTTTACCACAATATAAAAATTTTAATATATGATCACACATTCTGTTACAAACTCCATACTTAATACTCAGCAGATCCTCCACAAACACTGTAAACATAACTATAGAGGGTCTGGGTTAATTCTTCTGTGCTAATAATAGCAACTAGCATTACGTGCTGGTCAACATATTCAATGATTTATTCTGCCCTGTAAAGTAGGTGCTGTTATCCCCAAGTGGCAAAAGTGCAAAGTGAAATATAGAAAACATTTGCCCAAGGTCACAGAACTGGCAGATGGCATACCTGAAATTTGTTTGTTGTTATTATTGTCATTTTTGTTTTTGTTTTGAGTCAGGTTCTCCTCTCACCCAGGCAGAAGTGCAGTGGCATGATCATAGCTTACTGCAGCCTCGACCTCCTGGGCTCAGGCAATCCTTCTGTGTCAGTCTCCTGAGTAGCTGGGCCTACAGGTGTGCACCACCATGCCCGGCTAATTTTTTTTATTTTTTGAATAGACGAGGTCTTACTTTGTTGCCTAGGCTGGTCTCGAACTCCTGGGTTCATGCAATCCTCATAAAAGTGCTAGGATTACAGGCATGAGCTACTGTGCCCGGTCAAACCTGATATGTGAACCCCTGTGTTGTGAGCTGACCTTGTCCTGTGATTATAGAGCTGATGTGCAATAGCAAAGTGCTCTCAAGTTCTTAGAACAATGTTGATGAAGTTTCAGTTCTTTTTTTTTCTTTTTGAGTTGGAGTCTCACTCTTGTCGCCCAGGCTGGAGTACAGTGGCACCCTCATAGTCACTGCAGCCTCCACCTGCTGGGCTTAGGCGATCCTTCCACCTCAGCCTTCCAAGTACTTGGAACTACAGATGCACACCACCATGCCTGGCTAGTTTTTGTGATTTATTGTAGAGACGAGGTCTCACCAAGTTGCCCAGGCTGGTCTTGAACCCCCGGGCTCAGGCAATCCTCTCGCCTCAGCCTCCAAAAGTACTGGGATTACAGGTTGAGCCACCACGCCCAGTCAAGTTTCAGTTCTTAAAGAATAGACTGTTCTTATTCAAATCTGCAAGCACATTTCTATTTCCCTTATTTTTTATTTGCTTAATTACCACTGGACATACACATGACATAAAATAACTGTAGGAAGTGCAAGTCCCTCTCAGCACAAATCCATGTGCCATGCAAGGTTATTGCTTGTTCAGAGTTGCCCTCTGGCCCTCTGCAGTCGTCTTCTGTTGGAACAAGAGTTACATCCAATTTCTCTCTCATTCCTAGGACTAGACTTAGTAAGCAAAGTGAGATCTGGCTGAGTCCTAAGGCAAAGTCTTAGACACAGGACATGTGGATGGGGTGTGTGTGTGTGTGTGTGTGTGTGTGTGTGTGTGTAAGAAGTAAAGACTCTCCAGCACAGGGAGGAGGATAAGAAGTGACAGTTGAGGAGAAAATAACTAGAAGAGAATGTCAGCCTCCTCGGAGATCACCACACAATCCCAAATCATGCTGCCCTGGGGTGTGGTTCACTTGCATTGGATGTACAGAGCCTCTGTATTGCTCAACTCCTGAGGGCACCATTTATACTGTGGCCTGTGGGATAACACCCTCTTACCCCTATGGATGCAATGGAAAGCCTGCATGGCTGTTAGGAGTAACTCTGCAGGTGAAGTCGAGAGTCATATCTAAAAGGATGAAGTTTGCATGGCAGTAAAAGCTCTCAGACAGACGTAATTCTTGGCTGCAAATAGATGCCAAGGTCATGTTTCCAGCAAGGTCTGTCCAGGTGTACACAGGGAGATTCATGCACAGGACCAGTCTCCAGATAAGAGGGCACTGACAGCTACTAGACAGAATTCAGAGCTGGTTCCCCTTCTAATGGAGAGATAAGGTGGGTCCCACCAGCAGGGAGAGAGTGAGGACCCATGGCTTACTGTTCATGTATCGCCAGACCATTAACATGCTGGTCTCAGAGCTCCTGGTTAACTGGCATGTCTGCCTCCTTTGGTTCTGGATGTGCTGAGTCAAGGGTTGCCACGGAATACTGTTGTTCTTGATCGGTGACCAGGGCTGGCATGGGCAAGAGCAGGCTCCATGAACCCTACATCTTCAGCACATGGCCTTGTCAGACTCTTTATACATGCTTATAGAAATAGAGTACTTGAGGCCAGGCACGGTGGCTCATGCCTGTAATCCCAGCACCTTGGGAGGCCAAGGCAGGAGGATCACTTGAGCCCAGGAGTTGGAGGTCAGCATGGGCAACATAGCAAGTCCCTGCCTCTATTTAAGATAAATTTATTCATGTAAAAATAAAGAAATTTAGTAGTTGAGCTATCTCTTGCCTTTCTGCTCTCCAAATCATAGAAAAGACCTTTCATTGTTTATCCTGTTTCCTGCCACTTCTATCAATCCAGAAGGCCAGATGGGACTCAATATTAATGGGGTGTTTTCTTACAGAATTTTCTCACATAGTAAAATACCAGATACTATATGGTTGTTCATATAGTTGTATGTTCATGATGTGGAAGACCCTCTCCTGAGGGTACCAACCCAATGATTTTTTAAAGAGATTTCCTTTAAGCAAGAAGTCATCCCACAGTGCAGATGAGTTTCAAATATTTCAACATTTTCAAGCAGGCTCTGAGTCATAAATGCCTTCATCTTGATTTTCTGATTCCCAGATTCCCCTTCACAAGAGAAGGATCTCAGGGAAGTGGAAAAATTGACAATAGAGGCCTTGCTAATGTGAAAACATTGTATTTAATTTCAAAATGAAGTCATTATTATCTAAAGACACGGGCATGGTCTTGAATGGTGAGCTTCACCAGGTTTTCAAGTGTTTTGGATCTCAAGATTTTAAAGAAGAGGAACTTTCTGAGCTGGTCCCATTGCAACCTTGCCTAATAGGAGAGAGACCACCAGTCAAACTCCCTTCCAACTCTGAGCTCCTGGCATCAGATTTCCTCCACAAATTTCTGAGATGCCAGATTTTCTGGGGACACCAAGGACATTCCTACAGCCTTTGTTGAATGAACACTGTCTTCTTACTCTAAAGTTCATGCTACACCATGAACCATCAAGAAATAGCCAATTGTGGCAGGGACAATTCAACTCCACTTACTTTCACTTTAGTTCTTCAATTGATCTTTCCATTTTTTTCTATAGGACAAAATATAACCAGCTGCTTCAAATTTACAGCTAGAAGGTTGAGTTTCTGGAAGGCGAATAACAATGCAACTCCATTTTATGACTTCTCTGGGTAGCAGTAAGAAAATGAAGATAGAAACAATTAACCAGAAACAATAAAAAAAAGTCAACTCTATTTAATGTTAATTATGATGACTGATGTAATCATTACTTCAACTCACATAAAAACGAAATAAGTTGCACATAAATACAACTTGAAAGAAGCACTGGATGAATCTAAGACTTTCTTTTTTTTTTTTGAGTTGGAGTCTCACTCTGTCGCCCAGACTGGAGTGCAGTGGCTGCTCCTGACCACCGCGGCCTCGACCTGCTGGGCTCCGGCGATCCTTCCGCCTCAGCCTTCCAAGTAGCCGGAATTACAGGCATGCGCTACCACACCCGGCTGATTTTTTGATTTATTGTAGAGATGAGGTCTCGCTGCCCAGGCGGGTCTCAAACCCGCGGGCTCAGGCAATCCACTCACCTCAGCCTCCCAAAGGTGCGGGATTACAGGCTGAGCCACCGAGCCCGGCTGAAACTAAGACTTTCAAAGATATGTTGACTTCTGTCATGTGAATGTCAATTTGTAGAAAAATAACTTTCTATAGTAAAAGCAACTATAGTTGTTTTGGTTTCCAAGGCTGTTTCTTTGATTCCTGTTTCCTTCAGTTCAGGTGGTTCCCACTGTGGAACAGTACCTTGAACTGGGATTTCCTGGGTCAATCAACCAGATTTCCCTCGAGAGAAGTCTGGGTACGCATGGGGAGTGACATATAACTAACTCAATTATACTATAAAGATCAAAACTGCAATTAAAACCCAAAATAAATTATCAACAAATCTCTAAATACAGTATAAATGAAAGTGACATATTATAATAAGATTTAAATAATTGAAAATACTTGGGTATAAATTAAATTCCTCCTAGCCGGGCTCGGTGGCTCAGCCTGTAATCCCGCATCTTGGGAGGCTGAGGTGAGTGGATTGCCTGAGCCCGCGGGTTCGAGACCTGCCTGGGCAACTTGGTGAGACCTCATCTCTACAATAAATCAAAAAAATTAGCCGGGCGTGGTAGCGCGCACCTGTAATTCCAGTTACTTGAAAGGCTGAGGTGGAAGAATAGCCGGAGCCCCAGCAGGTCGAGGCTGCAGTGGCCGGGAATGGCCACTGCACTCCAGTCTGGGTGACAGAGTGAGACTCCAACTCAAAAAAAAAAAAAAATTAAATCCCTCTTTGACTTAAGACTTTTTTTGTTCAGGGTCTCACTCTGTCACCCATACTGGAATGCAGTGGCATGAAAATGGATCACTGCAGTCTCAACCTCCAAGGCTGGGGCGATTCTTCCGCCTCCGTCCCCAAGTAGCTGGGGCTACATACAAGCATGTACCACCACATCCAGATAATTTTATTTTTTGTAAACATGAGGTCTTGCTATGTTGTCCATGCTAGCTTTGAACTCCTGGACTCAAGCAATCCTCCTGCCTCAGCCTCCCAAGGTGCTGGGATTACAGGTGTGAGCCACTGTACCCGGCTGACTTAAACTATTAATTGCTGCTTCATCTAAGCATAACCTGTGTAGGTAGCAGAGTACAGTGGGCACTAAAGTCAGACAGCTTGGGCTTGCCTGGATTGGCCAATTACTAGCTGGTAATTGTGACCTTGTATAAATTATTTAACATCTTTGAGCCTCAGATTCTTCCTCGAAACTGAAAGTATTTACTTCTTTGGTGTGAGTATTAAGTAGTAATACACACACAAAGCTCTTACAACAGTGCCCATGCATACAAACCAATCAATTTATGTTAGCTATTTTTTCCACCTTAATATGCTACAAAAAGTATGTCTTCCTCTTGCAATGCTTTGAACATAGCAAAATATCAAGTCTTTTGTAGAGCTTTCTGGTGGCATTCTTGCCACATCTCTATGATTCTGGCCTTCAAAACAGCATAAGTATCAAAAGCCTCACTTGCACATGGGTTCGAGTCCTAGAACTTTGGAGAGAACAAGTGATGGCTTCAAGTAGATCTTCTTGATAGTTCTTCTACTTCTGTCCTGTCCCCAGAGAAACTTATTTCAGTTGTACAGAATTTGATTTTAACCTGTACTTCAGTATTACCTCTGCAGTAAGTTCAACTTAAAACAATCAATTAAGCCAGGCACGGTGGCTCACACCTATAATCCCTGCACTTTGGGAGGCTGAGGCAGGAGAACTGCTTGAGCCCAGAAGTTCTAGACCAGCCTAGGAAACATAGTGAGATCTCATCTCTACAAAAAAATCAAAATAATTAGCCAGTGTGGTGGCATGCACCTGCAGTCCCAACTAAATGGGAGGATTGCCTGAGCCCAACAGGCCAAGGTTGCGGTGAGCCATGATCATGCCACTGTACTCCAGTCTAGTTGACAGAGTGAGACCCTGTCTCAAAAAAAAAGTGCAGCCGGGTTCAGTGGCTCAGCCTGTAATCCCGCGCCTTTGGGAGGCTGAGGTGAGTGGATTGCCTGAGCCCGCAGGTTCGAGACCCACCTGGGCAGCGAGACCTCATCTCTACAATAAATCAAAAAATCAGCCGGGCGTGGTAGCGCATGCCTGTAATTCCAGCAGCCCAGCAGGCGAGGCTGTGGTGGCCAGGAGCGGCCACTGCACTCCAGTCTGGGCGACCGAGTGAGACTCCAACTCAAAAAAAAAGTGCATAGGTAATACATGAATTAAACCAATAAGACAGAATTAAAATAATACAGAAGTATATGAAGTAAAAAGTGCATGCTTCCTACTCCCACTTCCACTTCTCATTCCAGACCATTCAACATTTGGTCTATGGTTTTACAGACCTTTTTTCCATGTTTTTGTATAAATACATGTGTTCATATACAAATATATAATTTTGAGGGATTTTTCCCCCAAAATTAGGTCAAAGAATGGGACTTTGTATGCCTATGGTTAGTATATTTCTGAATATATATAATTACTAAAGTTGTGTTATTAAAGCAATCACTTACTAAAGAACTTTATTTCACTCTCTGGATGATTCAGAACAAAAGCTGTCATGTGTGTGACAAGTGGCTGGAAATTGTGCCAGAAGGGAAGAAGTTAGCACAGTACTTTTGCTCTGGGTGGAGACATTTTTCACATATGCATGTAATGTGGCCTGTAAGCTAGCTGCTGCAATGGACTGTGCATTTCTCCACTGATAGTGTTGTAAATAGAACTTAGTAAAAACCAGACAAAGTCCTTTTTCCATCACCTCCTGCCTCAGATTCTTCACCTAATGAGAAATTTGTTAGTTTTTCCTTAAAGTCCAAATCAGTTCAACAACTCATATTACTGAGCATCTTGTGCAGAACTGAGTCTTCAAAACACCAAAGTGTCTACTCTTTAAGAATTATTGATATCATTTCAGATAGTCATTTCAGAAATTCATCTTTGCTTTTAAGAATCTAGTTTTGTTATACTTTAAAATGCCTTTTCTATTTCCTACATCAAAGTTATGAGATAATTGTCACTCTGTTCAAAACTTCTAAACTTTAACTTGGGGGTGAGGGGAAGTACAGTTTTTGTCCAAGATAATAATATGTTTTTGCAAAAAATATGGAATTAAAGTTTGAGCCAGGCATGGTGGCATAGGCCTGTAGTCTCAGCTACTCAGGAGGCTGAGGCAGGAAGATCACTTGAGGACAGGAGTTTGAGGCCACATTGAGCTATGATCACACCGCTGCATTCCAGCCTGGGCAACAAAGCAAGACCCCATCTCTTAAATAAATAAACAAAATTTTAAAATAAAATAAAAAATAAATTTTAAAAAGTTTAAAATGTGGTCCACACTGACTTGTGATGCCTTCTTCCATTTTTTCGGGCAAAAGCAAACGCATTTTAGAGTGAAACATTTGTTCTATTTTTTTTTCAAAAATTAAATTTATGATTGACTTTATTTTAACTACTTTGGGAAAGTTCTCATCAAACAAGTTAACAGTTACGTTTCTTCCTACTTTTTTCCTGTCCATTTAAGGCCATTTATACCATTGAATGACAGTATTATTCTTAGTAGCCAAAAGGTATAAACAACCCAAATGTCCATCAACAGATAAATGAGTAAACAAAACACTGTATATATACGTATATAAACACTGTATATATACTCATGTGTCAGAATTTCATTTCTTTATAATGCTGAATCACTTTCCATTGTATGTGTGTATATATATATGTATGTGTTGCACAACAATGTGAATTTACTTAATGGCACTGAATTGCAAACCTAAAAATGGTATAAATGATAAATTTCATATTTTAGATCATTCACTACCACAAAAAAAAATCCTTATCCTCATGGAGCCTACTATCTAGGAGAGGAAGATAATAAGTAAATAAAAATGTCAAAAATTTGTTTAAGTAGGTCAGCCTTTTATTTCATTTTGGTCTGCTCCCATTTTTCAGATAAGAAGTTAGAGGACAAAAAGGAAATATAGCACGGTCTACTAACTAAGACCGTGGTTGTCTGAATCCTAGATCAGTGATCTTTCTCTTGAATTATACTTCCTTTGGGGGGACTTCTATTACTTCTGTCTTACCTGAGCCATTCAATCATGTACTGGAAAAAGAAAAGACTCTGGTACTTGGGTTCAAATTTTAGCTCAACTGCTTCCTGGAAGTTTGATCTTGAGATTTCCTCTTCAGGAAAATGGAGATAACAAAGCCTACTTCATAAGGACTAAAGGTAATTTGTTACCTGTACAGATTGGTACCAAGTAAGGAGTCAATAGAAATTACCTCCCTTCCTAAATCCCTCAAAATTCCTTCTCTGAATTTCTTGTTTAGTTATAAACTATATTCAATGAATGAATACTTTCAATACAGCAATTTTAGCAAACATTCTTGTGTTTGTGTTTTTATAAATCATTCTAGAAACCTAGTTTAGATACTAAAAAGATTGGCTCGGTTGAACACCCTGGGAAGATAGCCAGATCCATTCATTTGACCCTTGTTTAGCTGGGAGGGAACTTTCAAAGAATAAGTTTGGTAAAAAATTCAAAACAAGAGCTAACATTCTGTTTTACAAAAAATAAAGCCACCTCTTTGTTATCTCTACTAATTATTTTTAAAAGAGTAAACCCATATTCCATTCCTCATCTTAAAAGGCACTTATCTCTAAACAAAAAATAATGGTATAGATTATATATGAGTGACTACCATAGGAGATGAGTTGTGTCTAGTCTCCTAAGAAGAATAATATGTTTCTCAGATATGACCTAGTGAATGCAATGCAGGAATAAAGGTATTGAACGGCACTATGGGAGAAAAGTGGCAGAAGAAACAAAACATTCCAAAATGATTCTTAAAGATATTGACTCAAGGCCAAGTGTTCTTGTATTTTTGTATTATGTCTTTAAATGTATCCATCTGTGTAATGCATGTAATGGGGGCATTTTAATATGCAGTACATTATATTGTAAATTACTTATGTTCATGTTAACTTCGGTTTTTATAAGACCTAATCAAATCCTTTGAGTTTTAGAAAAACAAGCCATATTCTAATAAAATGAAAGAAATAACTTCGGTTTTTTTCCCCTAGATCTAGGAAAGCATAACCTCCTCTTTTCAACATTTAGAGTATAAAAATAAATAACCCTTTTGGCATCAATTATATTTAAAAATATTTCAACGACCCAAATACACTAAACATACTACTTGGGAATACCTAGGACATTTCATGCCCATCTGATTTTTTTTTTTAGGATTCCCTATACTCAAAATGCTTCTGTCACGTTTTCTAAGTTCAAAATGTTTGTCATTTTCAAGATCAAATCTCTTCTCCTTTGTAAAGACTCCCCTTGTTCCCCAGTCAGGATGACTTGCTCATTTCTATGAGCAGTCATGGTTGTGTATCCCTCCATTATCTCATCAACAACTTGTAAGCCTTGTTATAAGTACAGATGTTTCTCCCTTTTGGCTGTAGGTGTCATAGGAGTAGGGTCAACATCACGGCCCCTACTTCTCTCAGCACAGTGTCTGACATTCATTAATTAATTCATTCATCCAGCAACAATCTATTGCATGTCTACCATTTGATGCCATGGAATGAACAGGAGGGTAAAAAAGTCACAGGGAAAAATTAAAAAGCTAAATTTTTAATGTTGTCAGTAGAATTTTACAAGCCAGGAAAGTTTTTAGAAAATGAAGAGAAAGATATTGATACAGACCAGATTTACTGAAAACATTAACGTAAGCCTTCTATCACAGAACTGATTTATTTTTGTAAGCAATGTATGTGCTTCTGAGTTAAGGATCTCTTCTGCTACTTTGACCATTTTATGGGATCTGAGACCTTTGTGGCTTGTATATAAAAAGTTGGTAGACTCAGAGTAAGTAAAATAAATCTAATCGGTGTTTATTTTCAAAAGAAAACATGAATCAGCAGTAAAAATTTAGAGGAAGGAAAAAGACAAAAACTACTTTTTCATGGCAAAGGCCTGACGTCCAACTTCAAGCTAACTGTCAAGCTAACTGCATGGATTCTTAGAAAAGAGCATGTTCCCTTTTGAAACTTTCTATTAAAACAAAGCATATTTCTGTCTCAATATATACACTGCACCTAGATTTACTTCAAATACCATTTTTGTGAATGTGCTCTTATGAAACACCTGAATTCTTTCTTTAGCATTGAATTGAATTTTTCAGAGCATCACTGCTAATACTCACACAATGTATATGTAGTAAATCAAGGATTTATACTCATGCAAAGATTATGTATATTGTATCATCATACTATATACTTATCAAGGCCATGCCTGTAACTGTCGATTATTGTAGTGAATTATAATAATGAGGGAAAATAAATGAGAAGGTGCTTATCAAAGATATCATTCTATAGAAAAAGGTTCTTACCTGCAAAATCTTTAATATAGATTTTAAAAACTGTTCTTGAAATAGTATATTATTGATAATCACAATGTTCTGAGGCATCAACACAATTAAGTTTCTTGATTTTTTTTTTGTGAACTAGAGTAACTATTCTCTGTCCTATTGACATTAACCTGGCTTTGTAGAATCCATAGTTTCAAAACTAGAGGTGGGGGTTAGGAGTGGAAATACCTTTCTAGCATAACTGATAAAGTGATAGCAGCAAGGGAATGTGAAGTATGTAAGTCTTACATATGGTAGCATTGAATATCCTCTCCCTTGGAAATGGAGTAGCAAAAGGAGCAGTATGCATGTGTGCACACATATGTGTATATTTATGTGTGTGTGTTTGATTGAGATATTACTTGACTGCAAATTAGAGCCCCTTGTATCAGCAAACTTTTCCTATGTAACAAACCACTGCAAAATTTAGTGTCATATAACAATAAGTAATTATTTCTAAAAATAAAATTATTTTTCTTGAACAGTTTTTGATAGGGCAATTCTAAGTTGATATTTTGTTCCATTCTGTCCTCTCATGTCTTTCTCAATGCCAGGCCTCCTTGTCTTGTCCATGGAAACTTCAAGCATGCTTTACACCCCACAGTCCATTACCCACAGAATACGGATGTGATTTCTGATTTTATGCAAGGGTATTGAATGCTCAACTTAATTTGTAAGAATTCTCCAAAACAATTAACTTCACAAAACTGAGTCCTCTTCTGTACCGATGTTTCAAAATCACAGAAAGCCACTAATTATTAAAATTATATATCTCTACTTGCCCTGTGGCTTTACTGTTTTGTTTTGTTTCCAAGACTTCCTCCTCTAATCTGTCACTGGTCACTCTCCCTAAACGTTTCCAAATTTTTTCCTGAAGTCTGTCACTTCCTTCACACCTGGCCCCTGATGGAGCACAGATAAGCCTTCCTTCCCCATCCTCTAGAAAATTCAATACACAATCTTAGGTGGGGACTGATTCTGCCACTCTTCTCAGGGTCCCCATCAACCTTTTTTTTTTAAGAGACAAGATCTCCCTTTGTTTCCCAGGCTGGCAATGGCATCAAATTCTAGGGCTCAAGGGATCCATCCTCTCGCTTCAGTCTCTCAAGTAACCAGGACTACAGGTGAGCACCACTGCACCAACTTTCCCCGTCAACTTTTAACAAACTTTAGTCCATTTCAATTTTTAAGAGTAGGGCATACTGAATCTATTCATTTTCAAAACATTATCAAAACACTTTATTTAATACTTAACAGTGTCTAGCACATAGAATTGCAACCTGTATTCATTTCATTCATTCATTAGGGACAGTCTCTAATAGTCTACATATGGCACCTCACAGCCTCTGCTCTACACCACTCACCCACCACTTTCTTGTCTCTAGAGAATGATCTCATTAAGTCTCCCTGTGGAAGTCCTTTAAGATGAGATAAACTTTTCAAAGCAGACCAGGGTTGGGCACAGTGACTCACGCCTGTAATCCCAGCACTTCAGAGGCCAACACAGGAGAACTGCTTGAGCCCAGGAGTTTGAGACCAGCCTGGGTGACATAGTGAGACCTTATCTCTACAATAAACCAAAAAATTAGCCAAGCATGGTGGTGCACATCTGTAGTCCCAGTTACTCAGAAGGCTGAGGAGGGTGGATTGCTTGAGCCTAAATGGTCGAGACTGCAGTGAGCCATGATTGTGCCACCGCACTCCAGCCTAGGTGACAGAGTGAGATCCTAACTCAAAAAACAAAGAATAAATAAAAATAAATAAAACTCTCAAAGCACACCAGGCCAGTTAATGGTAAGCCACACCTCAGCCAGAGTTATTCTGGAAGCCGTCTCTGCCTGCACAACCAAGAAAACAGCAAGCACAGTTCATGGCAAACCATCCTCTGCCCAGAAAGTGCCTGGGTTTGGGCCACCCGTGTGTTTAATCCTCTCAGGTTATCCTTTCATGGTGTCCAATCAGATGAAAATGACACAATATCTCCCTTTTATTGGTGAGAGGTTTTTTTTCTTCCATGGAAGTTACTTGAAGATTCTTCACATATTGTTAATTAAAACAAGCGAAAGATGGAATGCAACCTGCTTCAAACATTTTCATTTAAATCTACATTTCATGAAATTAATCCACTCCTAAATATACAGTTGTTTGAAATTAATAGCTTACAATCTGAAGACTGAGGAATATTTTCTAAAGGTGCTTGTGTGTTGAAGTATAAAGTATAATTCTGGGCCGGGCACAGTGACTTATGCCTGTACTCTCAGCCCTTTGGGAAGCTGAAGTGGGAGGATCACTTGATCCAGGAGTTCAAGACCAGCCTGGGCAACATAGCAAGATCTCATCCCTACAAAAAGTAAAAAAATTAGCGAGGGATGGTGGCATGTACCTGTAATCCCAGATACTCAGGAGGCTGAAGTGGATCACTTGAGCCCAGAAGGTAGAGGCTGCAGTGAGCCAAGATCCTACCACTGCACTCCAACCTGGGTGACAAAGTGAGACCGAGATTCAAAAAAAAGTAAAAATAAAAACAAAGTGTAATTCTGGACGAAGTTAATGTCTAGTGCTATGTGTATTCATTTCTAGACACGGTTAGAAGCTGTGTAGCAAAGCTGTTCTTCACCTGCTCCCTGAAGGGCCATTACTGCCTCTACAGTAAATCCAGCTTTATTCTCATTAGCCAGGAGCCTCAACCATGGATCCAGATCATGTTTCTGTTTCAGCAGGTATGTATCATTTGTGTTCAACAGGTTCCTTAATGTGCTGCTGGAGTGAGTTTATGATAATTTTTATTGAATTCCTTGGCCAAAGTCAACATGCAGATAACGACAACACATATACATTTCATTAATCATTTTCACTGTAGATTTTCTATATTTTAAGATAGTTTCCTTATAAAAGACCCTGGATTAATCAGTAGTCCAAACCTATTATTATTCTTGCATATTCTTTGCTTTTAAAAAGAATGGATCAGGTGCAGTGGATCATGCCTATACCAGCACTCTGGGAAGCTGAGGCGGGAGGACTGCTTTAGCCCAGAAGTTCAACACCAGCCTCAAACATAGTGAGACCTCATCTCTACAAAAAAAATTAAAATATTAGCCAAGCTTGGTGGCATGCACCTGTAGTCCCAGCTACTCAGGAGGCTGAGGCAGAAGAATTGCCTGAGCCCAGTAGGTTAAGGCTGAGGTGAGCTATGATCATGCCACTGCACTCCAGCCTGCGGAAGTGCAACAGAATGAGACTCTGCCTCGAAGGAGGAGGAGGAGGAAGAGGAGAAGGAGAGAGAGGAAGGGGAGAAGGAGGGAGAGGAAGAGGAGGAGGGGGAGGAGAGGAAAAAGAAAGGAGGAGGAAGAGGAGGGGGAAAAAGAAGAGGAGGAGGAGAAAGAGGAATAAAAAGAAGAATGAATGAAAGGGAAAATGCCTTTGGTTAAACAACAACCAAAAAACAAAACAAAACAAAAAAACAGTTTATTTGTAGAATGGCTTTCCTTACGTAGAGCTAGCCTTTATTTCGCTAGAGCCTTCCAATCTCCAGTTAATGCTAATATCAATGTATTCTTTTTAGCATTAACATACTGGAATGCCACTTTTTTACTATAGTGTATATATAGGTGGAATTACATAAGGAGCAACTTTCAATTTAACCATGAAGAATTTGATGCAAAGATATTAGCATAAAAAGAGATTTTTATGTGTGAATCATTGTCTTGGATGCATTAAACTCCCACATAAAATTTGAATGTTAGATTATAAAATGTTAGAAATAGACGGAATCTTGTACATCATTTTTACAGATAATAAAACTGAACTCAGACCATCTGACTCCTGACCTAGTGATCTTTTCATTGTTGCACATGTGTTGAAAAATAAAATGAGGGATGCAGCTAGGAGCAGGGAGGGAAAAGGCAGAAAAAAACAAAACGCAAATGTTATAACAGGGTTGAAAATTAAGCCAAGTGATAATGATAAGATAGCTTGTTTTACTTTTGTTAATAAAATATTTCTATAATAGCTCCTACAAAAGTCACCAAGCAGAGAGTTGTATTTCTTTATAAAGTCAGGTTTACTTAGGAAAAAAAAATGAATGTTAACCCTGAGTATACCATAATCATAAAGTGAAACTATAGTAATTAAGAAAAAAGTCAAATTGAACATGCCTTAGGAATACCTTTTTTAATAGTGATTCTTAAGAACACTTAATAACATCTCATAGAGAACTCACATTTTGATATGAACCAAATTATACCCGAATATTAAAAAAGCATTAATTTTTCTTCCTTTTCTTGAGATAATGACCTTATTATTCTTCTACTTATATTTTTCACACAGTTTCCATCAGTGATTTTGTATTTGGTTTCATCTTTGGCTTTGTTCATAACATTTGCCAGTTTTCTGACAGCAAACCAAGAAAACTTTTTTTTTTTTTTGCCCCTCAGTCTTATTTTATTGACTTAGTTTGATTCTTTGTCTTTCTCTTTAAGCAGAATCACCAAAAAGCATCTGCTTATGCTACATTTCTTCTGTGTTCATTCTTCTATAATGGTTGCTTTCTTTCTTTTTCTTTTTTTTGAGTTGGAGTCTCACTCGGTCGCCCAGACTGGAGCGCAGTGGCCACTCCCGGCCACCGCAGACTCGACCTGCTGGGCTCCGGTGATCCTTCCTCCTCTGCCTTCCGAGTAGCCGGAATTACAGGCATGCGCTACCACGCCCGGCTGATTTTTTGATTTATTGTAGAGATGAGGTCTCGCTGCCCAGGTGGGTCTTGAACCCGTGGGCTCAGGCAGTCCACTCACCTCAGCCTCCCAAAGGCACAGGATTACAGGTTGAGCCACCGAGCCCGGCTGGTTGCTTCTTTTTATACACCTTTGATATTGTGGGTGGATTCAGACTTTGGGGTAAATAAAAATCAAACTTCGACTTGACAATTACAAACCCAGCACTAATCTTGTGTCCTGGGCTAGTCTCTCTTTTCTGTCAACTTCATGCATTAATGGAGTTCTCAAATTCACAGATTCCAGTCTAAATGCCCTTCTTTAGATTGGTGATTCATTAAATCAGGTCCTCTTCTTCTTTAAATGAAAAATTGTGTGCTGCATAAGTTTCTGATAATAGTGAAGAAATTAAATTCCTAAATGTGTCCCCTTTTATGGGTTGCATAGTCAATCTATTACTGCTCTTAAACTTTTTAAACCTGTGAACCACTTATTTGAAGTTTAAGACTCTCCATCTTTTCCCACTCGGTATTAGAAACAAGTCATTTAGATAATAATAATTAGTTTTTCTGAAAAAAAAGTGTATTAATCTGTGTTCACTAAATAGAAGCTTTGAATACACAGACTTAAAGAGTCTCATAAGCCAATGCTTACATAGTTATTGACAAGAAGATAAGATTTTATAAGTCAATCTCATTATTTTACCATACAGCATACATAAAGGGTAATACATATGGCATAATAGGCAGTGTAATGGTATTTTATACACTTTATAGTTATTCTGTGTGTTTTTATAAAAATTATTCCTTTCAACTGAAAGGCTTCTCACAATTATAGGTGTAACATTATAACATGTAAGTGATTATTAGACATATTGATCAGTAAATATACAAACACAAATTTAAATCTTCCTTTGAAAAGTTGATTTCATTGCCTGAGTAAAACATAAGCAAATGTGATTTTCTCTACATTAACACTCTTATTGTTCAACACTTAAAGAGAAATTATCTTAAAGCTTTAAGAATATTCACTCAATATACATTTAGGATTAAAAGTGTTTTTGTGTTCCCCCCACACCCGCTCACACTGGTCATATTTGAGGAGTTACACAATGAATTCTTAGTTATTTAATTTCTGTTCTTCATTATCTACTCTGTATAAATAGACTTGATTTTTGTATTTTATTTTAATTTTATTCCTTGATTTCCAGATCTTTGATAAAATACATGAATATTTATATTAACTACATTTCACTTAAGTAACATTATTGGGAAATCATTGAGATAAACACTGTGTTACAAAAGTCAAGCATATTTATAGAGATCGTTGTCAACTGCCTTGAAAATCCTATTAAATAATTTAAATTTTCTGTTAAAAATAAAAGGCCTAAAATACATAGTTGATCTTTAAGATAGATCTTTTCTGGCCGGGTATGGTGGCTCACACCGATACTACCAGCACTTTGGGAGGCTGACATGAGAGGACTGCCTGAGCCCATGGGTTTGAGACCAACCTGGACAACTTGGCAAGACGTCATCTCTGTAATAAATAAATAAATAAATTCGCTGTGTGTGGTGGTATGTGCCTGTAGTTCCAGCTACTTGGAAGGCTGAGGTGGAACAATCACCTGACTCCAGCAGGTCAAGGCTGCAGTGGCTGTGAGAGTGCCACTGCACTCTAGCCTGGACGACAGTAAGACTCCCACTCAAAAAAAAAATATATCTTTTTATTGTTTCATTTAAATTTAAATCATGTCAAAGTTTAAACCAATCCTAAATAATGCCTTGAAATCAAACAATACTGTGGGTAAGAGATGACGTGTTATGATTCTGTCTCTAATACCCTTTAGAGCCTGTTTCCTGAGCCCCTGTCCATACAGAGTCGCTCTGTGCAATTCCTTCGAGCTCTGTGGGAGAAGACCCAAGCAGGGGATGCTCACAGCTTTGAAAGAGCCATGTTGGAGTCCACGTTTCCACAGCAGAAGGTAAATGCTTCTTTTTTAGTCATGTTATTTTATGCCAAGATCCAAGATTGCCGTGAAACAGTTTGCCTTAAAAACAAACAAACAAACAAAACAACTTCAGATTCTTCCTTCTTTCCTTTACCTTCTTTTATCATTATCAGAAAAAGTTTTTAACAATTTTTTGAGTTGGGGTCTCACTTGGTCACCCAGTGGGGAGTGCAATGGCACAAGCACAACTCACTGCAGCCTCTGGGCTCAGACAATCCTTCCGCTTCAGCCTCCCGAGCAGCTGGGACTACAAACATGCACTAGTTAAAAAAAAATTTTGTAGCAACCACATCTTGCTATGTTGCCCAGGCTGGTCTTGAACTCCTGGGCTCAAGCAATCCTCCTGCATCAACCTCCCAAAGTGCTGGGATTACAGGAATGAACCACTACGCTGGTCCTCATTATCTGAATAACTTAATAAGTAATGATTTTCATATGGTCCCACAGTGGACTCAGGAGAGAGTGGTTTTTGAATACACCTTTTGAGGTTCATAGACTAACACAATAAAACCCACCCAGTACCACACAAAAACTGCATGCACTGTACAAAACAGAAACCATTTTGCACCTGGGTGCTGTTACTTGCATCTGTAGTCCCAGCTACTCAGGAGGAGGATCACTTGAGGCTAGTGGTTCGAGACTAGTCTGAACAACATAGCAAGACCCTGTCTCTATAAAAATTTAAAAATTAGTGGGTCATGGTGGCCCGCACCTGTAGTCTCAGCTACTTCAGAGGAAACAGGAAGGGAGCTTGAGCCCAGGAGTTTGAGGCTACACTGAGCTATGATCGCACCACTGCTCTCCAGCCGGGGCAACAGAGTGAGATCCTGTCTCCTAAAAAAAAAAAATCACATTTTTACAAAAGAAAACTGTAGACCAAGGGTTTGACAAGGAAAGAGCAACCTGGAATCATACTTCAGGTTCTTTGGTGCTTTTCATGACTTCCCTCCATACATCCTCTCATTCCTTTGTCCTCTGCAATTACCACAAAACAAGCAAATGAAGATAAGGTGGGTAGGAAGAGAGAGAACATGGTCAGGGTGAGAAAGAGCTCCACTGAGGCAGGCAAGTGTGATGTGAGACACAGAGCATTTTAGAAGTATGAAAACAAGCACAGTTGACAGACCTCCTGGGCAGGCAGCCAAATGAGGACAGACCAGAGTGTGGAACTAGACCCCCCGACTCAGAGTGAAATGGGCAGTGAAGGTACACTAAGGAGGTCAGATGTCCCTATGAGAAGAGTGCCTTGAAATAACAGGGAATGATTAGAGGAAGACCAACTGGAGACAGGAAGACTTCTTAGAAGGCTAGTAGGTTTGTCAGGTAGTAAATGAAGGTGTTGGGGGTTTGAATGTATGTGTCCCTCCAAAATTCATATGTGGGAACTTAAAGCTCAATGGGATTATATTAAGAGGTGGGGCATTTAAGAGGTGATTAAGTCATGAGAGTGGAACCCTCAAGAACGGGATAAACAACGGTATAAGAAAAAGCTTTCAGGAGTTTGATACCAGCCTGGACAATATAACGAGATCCTGTCTCTACAAATAAATAAATAAATAAATTAATTAATTAACTGCATGGTGGTCCCAGTTACTTGAGAGGCTGAGGCTAGAGGATCATTTGAGCCCAGGAGGTCAAGGCTGTGGTGAGCCATGATTGTGCTGGTATACTCCAGTGTGGGCAACAGAGTGAGACTCAAACTCAAAAAATACATACATACATAAGTAAACAAAAGGGCTGGAAGGAACTAGCTAGACCCTTTGCCCTTCTGCTTTCCTCCATGTGAGGATATAGCATTCAAAGTGCTATACTGGAAACAGAGATCAGGCCCTCACCAGACCCTGAACCTACCTGTTCCTTGATCTTGGACTTCCCAACCTCCAGAACTGTGAGAAATAAGTTTCCATCATTTACAAATTACCTAGTTGTATGTATTTTGTTACATCAGCATAATTGACTAAGAAACAAGGGATAAAACTGGAATTTGTAGGAAAACGATGAATTTGAGAGCTATTAAGGAAGTCAGATCAACGGGACTGAGTAAGGAAAATGGAAGAATCCAGGATGACTCCAGGTACGTCACTGGGCCACATCGATGATAACATAATCCTGACAAAGATAAATCACAAAGGAATCTGATAGGGCAGATGAAGATAAAGCATTCTGGTTTCCATTTTGAACCCGAGCTGTGTGTATGGATAAACAGATGGTGATGTCAGTGTGGACTTCAAGAAGACAGCATTGACTGGAGATAGGGACCCAGGAGTCACAAGGCAGCACCTGGTGTCATGGCAAAAGACTAGATCGTTCAAGGGGAATATGTATGTTGAGAGAGGAGAACAGTTACTGATGTTTTCTAGTATGTATTACCATCTTCTCTCTTGAAACTCTTCCCATATTCAAAGATTCTGATTATTCTTATTTTGCCTTCAAGAAAACCCAAAATAACATATTAGATGCTTACTGAACAAACCAGAGGTTCAGAGAATATTTGCTAATGGTTTCTGTCCTTGTTTTACTATTGAGAAGAGGGACAAGCATACTAGTATTAAATAAATTCAAAGTACAAGCAAGTAGCAAATCAACTGATCAGAAACTGATATCTTGCAAAACTAATGCAGTATTTCTTAAGTGCTGAAGAATTATAATGGGATGAGAAGTGGGTGTGATTAATCAGAAGTATATTTATAATTGTCTGTAAGACACTAAAGACACATCCAACTATTGCATCACTATTTTTTTGGCTTTAGTTTGAGAATTCAGCATGTAGTATTAAAAATAAAGGAAATGCCACAATTGCATCAGTGTAAAGTAAAATGGAATGCTTTGCACATTTCATTCAAATTTTCAGCTGTAGCATCATGTTTCAAGACAATGCCTCAAGTTCTCATAAATTTTTCATTGTGAACTGTATTTTAACTAGAGGCAACTAGTAAATTAAAACTTGGCAGGCTGCTTCAAATCCTAGGAGATTAAAAAAAAAACTTGGCAAACTAGTTGTGTGCATACTCACACGTATACTTATTCATATTTCTTCTACTTTATACCAATAAATATTTCCCTAAGGGAAATTTAACTGTAAACCAAATTTTTAAAATTTTTTAAGTTTTCATAATTTGGCATATTCATGAGTAATAGAAAAAACTTTGAAATATCTGGACTGTACATTATGTGGCAGAATTATCTGCCCAGGTCTTTTTCAAATTGATTGTCTCCTATTTTTTATGAAGTGTACTGAATTCAAAATAGCTGAGAGAATGGTGTGAGGTCTGCTTTATTTTCACGATAAGTGCCAGTATAGACATACATTAGTGATTTGAAAGAGATGGCTATGTGTGTATCTGTTGCTGTGGTGGAGTCTCACTACAGTCAAGTGGATCCAGGTACACAAGGGAGAACAAAGAAACTTCTGAAAAAAACACTTGAGTATTTAGAATATAACAATCTGGAAGATATGAAGGTAAGTTTGCTATTGTGGTTGCTTTTTAGAATTTTAGAACTGAAAATTGTCAGTAAGCTGTGTATTAAATTGCAAACTGCTTGAGGGCAGGGATTTTGTTCGCCATGTTTGCCATTGTATTGCTTGGTACACACCAGGTCCTCAATAAATTTTCATTGGAGAAGTTAAAATAAATAAAGAAGTTTAAAAAAATCCTATCATTGACTGGGTGCAATGGCTCATGCCTGTAATCCCAACACTCTGGGAGGTTCAGATGGGAGGAGTGCTTGAGCCCAGGAGTTGGAGACCAATCTGGGCAACATAGCAAGACCTCCCTCATCTCTAGAAAAAAAATCACAAAGTTAGCCAGGTGTGTTGGCGGCACGCTGGTAATCCCAGTTACTGGGGAGGCTGAGGCAGAATGATCGCCTAAGCCCAGAAGGTCAAGGCTGAAGTAAGCTGTGATCATGCCACTGTACTCCAACTTGGGTGACAGGGTGAGACCCTGACTCAAAAAAAAAAGTTCTGTTATTATCCAAATGTTAATGTTAAAATTGAAAGCAAAGGTCAGTGGCAGATCTAGAGCTGGAGTGCATACCCTGGTAACATCAGGGCTGACACGAATACACCTGGTGTTTCCCCCCTCTGGCCACAGAGATCTTATTTCCCTGCCTATTAAAGTAAGTCGTGGACACGTGACTTGCTTCAGCCAATGGACAGTGAGAAGGGATCTGTGTCACTACAAATAGACGATTTTAAAAGCCAGTGCTGTTCTCTGTGTTCCCTCCCTTCCCCACACAGTGATTGTAGAAGCAAATTTTAAGATTGAGTAGTAGAACGCTAGAAAGAGCCTGGAATTCTGAGCCACCACATAAAGCAATGCTGCTCTAGAGAGCCACTCAGTACTACCGCACACTTTGCATAACAAAGAGACATCTTTTGTTTTGTTAAAAACTGAAGTTCCAGTGTCAGTTTGGCAGCATACCTGCCTTTCTTGATTCCTATACATACCAGAGTAGTTACGCATGTTGGTTCTGAAGCCAGATCACCTGGGTTTAAAATCTGGCTTTGGGAGGCCGAGGTGAGTGGATTGCCTGAGCCCACGGGTTTGAGACCAGCTCGGGCAACTTGGCGAGACCTCGTCTCTGCAATAAAATAAAATTTTTTTAAAAAGTCAAAAAAATTAGCCGGGCATGGTAGTGCTCGCCTGTAGTTCCAGCTACTTGGAAGGCTAAGGTGGAAAAATAGCCGGAGCCTAGTAGGTCGACGCTGGGGTGGCCGGGAGGGTGCCACTGCACTCTGGCCTGGACGACAGAGTGAGACTCCAACTCAAAACAAACAAACAAACAAAAAAAACCTGGCTCTGTTCCTTGCCAGTTCTGTGTCCTTTGTCTCTGTGCCCCAGTTTATCTGTGCCATGGAGATAATGTTAGCACCTCCCTCAGAGAGCTATTTTGAGATTGAATGAGTTAATACATATAGAGCTTGGTGAACGATGGTCACACATTGTGATAGCTCAGTGAATGTTAACTTA